CAATGTTTAAACAATTGACCGCTTAATAGAATCGGCAGGCTGAGCCACAAGCGGGTGCTGGCAACATGAACACTGATGGGTCATCAGATGGGCTAATATTTGTGAATGCTCCACAAATCTGGCTGTTGCCTGATGAAGCTAGTTGTAATTACTGGCGAAACGTCGTACTCAGATTGGAAATGTTGTGGCTTGGCTCTCCAACACACCGGTGTTGCTGTACTCGTAACGAATTGGTATGTTCTTTTTACGTGACAAACCTTACTAATTGCAATACGGCAACAAGCGTTGATCCAATAATACTGGTAGGGACCTGCTGGTTACACCAGCCCACAGGGGATTATTGTGTCCGTCCGTCCGTCGTGCATCCAAAAATGGATGACAAAACGATGTTTTATCGAGCAAGGTTATTCAAACTTGAAAGAGGAGGATGGGGGGGGAGAGATGATGGAAATGAATTCCAAAGCCGAGCAGTCCGAGGAAAGAATCAGAAAGAAGGAACGTTTTTGGAGCTGCAGTGTTGGTGGTTTAACAAAGTACGAGTGGAACAAAACGGTCAGTCTGGTAGACTGACTCCTCGACATGGGTGGAGGAATGGCCGAGCGAAGTTCACGGCGCAGTCTGCATGCATGTTGAACTTATTTCGCAACGTACGTAGCCAACCGTGCTCATCGGGAGCATCGCTACGACCAGTAAACCCTGGCAGTAGCGAGAGAAGAGCGAAACGAAGACCACCGACCGCCGGGAGTGAATCGGTCATCAGTCGTCCCGACTTGCTTCAACGTCGCTTCGTGCGGCCGCTCACCGGCACGCAACGCATGCCCTCCCTTGTTGGGCAAACCCAAAGGTTGGGTTCCGGCAGCAGGCTTCCTGGGTCGTCTTCTGACCGAGCAGCAGCTCCTTGCTGCACACACCGGTCCTGGGGTCCACCTCTGTGTAGCACGCTCCCGAGGCTGCGGGGCAGGGGATTGCAAGTCAGTGCGATTTTTAAATCCTTTATATTAAGTTCACTTGCTTGCGCGCTTGCGCGCTTACGACCGTGCAAATCTTTCGGTCGTTTTTTAACCCACTTCCCGTGATCCAATCGAGTTGACATTTTGCACACAGACTCGTTGTGCGTGACAATTTATTTTCGTGAAAACATTTTTCCAAAATTTTCACTTTTTAGGAATGTTTTTTTTCATATTTAATTTAAAATACCAATGTGATAAAAATGAAACTCTTACTCAAGAAAAACAAAATTGAATAATAAAATAAAACCGATGCCACGCATATAAAGGATTTATAGTGAAAAACTTTGTTTTTACGGGTTACTTTTTTACAGATTTAGCATCGCGGTTACTGGCCCGGTGGCTCAGCGGTTAGAGGCAGTGGCTCGTGAATGGGAAGGTGGCGAGTTTTTCGAATCTGCGCGGTTGTTGCAACACCCCAACGTTTTTATGGGGTCGATAAAACGGTGACCACTTTTGTTGAGAAGTCAATAATTGGTCGTCCCACGTGAAAGGGAAGTCCGCACGAGCCGTCTCGGGGGGACAAGCGCTTCATTCTTGCCGCACCCCCAACCAAGACACGCACTCGCAGGACGCTTCACCGCCAGAAGACCACCATGCCCCCCCCCCCCCCTTCACACACTCTCTCTCCCTTCACCCTCGAACCTTCCAGAAGGTTCCCTGTCCTTCCTCCGCCTCCCATTCTCCATTAATCGATTTATCCCTTCCTTACCTGTCCCTAAACCCACTTTCTCCCAAATTGAACCTCTCAGCCAATCCCACGTCCCGCTTCCCAGCAACTGTGCCCCACCCACCCAAACGTCGTTAATGAATCTATTACCCTACGGTGTCCTTATATAATAATTACATATAGACGCACTCGCTCCTGCCATGGGAATGAGGAATTGCCACCTCTGGCTCAGGGCTGTAAGCAGGAGATGCGCACCACCTCATTGCTCGTTTGAGCAGGAAATCACTCGCACGTTTGACGATAAAACGAGGCCAACTTTAATAACAATAAAACACGCAATTTATAGCACACACATATTGCACGGACCGTGAAATTGCGGCAATTGTCATGGGCAGCGCAATTGGTACGGCTTCACATAGCTCCATGGTTAAACAAATCAAGTTGATTTGTTTAATTCTAGATTTGAAGCTTTCGTGACTGCAAGGATTCATACTCTTAGTTCTTCCGGTAAAGTCACGTAGGTAAAAAATGAAATTAAAATTAATAAAAATAAAATAATAAAATCACGACGTTTCGGAGGCAACACAAGTCTCCGTCATCAGATGAGACCGTCACAGTCAGATTTGCTGCTTGATGTTTAACCAGGCGAGAGCTTCAACAAGACACCAGAGATATTCTCAGTTTCAAGTGACATGGGTCACAGAAAATTACAAAGTAATAACTTAAAATATCGCACAGCAATTTAGTCGATAAATATCAGAGGAAGAAAAAAAACTTTACAGGAGTAATCTTAAATACTGTACAAACCTGAGAATAGGTTTTCCCCTTTTTTCTGGCAACAAAACAGGTGTTAAGATTTCGATTTAAAGCTTTCGTGACTGCAGAAATTCATCTTCTTGGTTCTTTCGGTAAAGTCACGTAGAAGGGAAATAATAAAATATTTTATTATTTCCCTTCTACGTGAAATAATAACATACTTTATTATTTCCCTTCTACGTGACTTTACCGAAAGAACCAAGACAGAGGTGTTAAGATGTTAAAACACCAACCTGAAACCTTTAACAAGGAATCATGTCTGCATTAACCAAGCTCTCACCCTACCCTTGCTTAATTAAAACAAACAACGTGTCACCGCTTTTTTGTTCTACACTTGTATCATAATTATAAACTCATATATTTATTGTAAACTTTCATAGTGCTGTGTGGTGCCGGCCATTTAACGTGTTGGGCCTTTGGACCTGTGCAGAGCAAGTGTTTAAAAATAATTCCAAAAAGTAACGCGCAAGAGTCAATAAGCCGAAGTGAAACTCTCCTCGTGTGATCACGCGAGCAGTGGCTGAGTGATGGTTTAAGAATTGCAATCGCCACCAGTGGATTGCTGCTGCTGCTTCAGTTAAATGTTTGTTATCAAGTTCCCATCATCATCATCATCGCCATCAGCTGTGATTCATTTCCACACAGCATCATTGTTTGAGCCCTCTTTGGGAGCTCCACACTTCGCCTCCTATCGCCTTCACAGACTGCTGGAGCAAGTGCAGTTAGCGAGCACCTATTGAAGGCTGGCACGGCACACCAGGGTGGGTGGCCAACACCACACCGGGCCGCCTTTGTCTCCCTAGTGACGATGTGTACTCATCGCACAAGGTATTCAGTCGAGGCTGAGTCGACCCAGGGGAGGCCCAGGACCGGTTCAAAGATTCGTTACCGTGATTGCTAACGAGCTCAGATCGCCGGGTTCGTAGCGCCGAGCGCTAACCACTGCGCCACCACTCCCCCCCACCACCGATCAGCACGGTTGGCTACGTACGGTGCGAAAGAAGTTCGACACACATACAAACACTCCCCCAGCTGCATGACAGCCAGCCACAGCAAGTGGAGAACGCGTCCACGAAGCCACGGGCTCAGGGGACAGCGCCACTAATTGCAAAGGTTCACAATGCCAGGGTCGCCTTCATCATTACCGCGAGTGTCATCACCAACATTCACTACGCGCCGTCTGCGTCGCAGTAAACGTTGAAAGATCCCCATGGGCAAGAGGAGGCCATCGCGTGCCGCCATCAGGGTCCACATTTGCCAAATGCGCAAATGACTAAATGTGGGATTAGACTCCACAGTGATCGCCCCCGCTACTTGTCAGACGAATGTCCCAGGTCGCTCTTGCAAATGAGACTCATCCTGGCGCCTCTTGAGTAGACTAAACACAACTCTTGTTGAACCATTGGCCGAGTCGTCCTGAATGGCCCCGATCTCAAAAGGTCAGCAGGGTTCATCCTCGAATCGGTGACCACCAGAGTTTGCCAGTTCGTTGTCGGCATGGCGTTGTGCGGTGACCAGGGGATGGCAAATGCGACTCCTCCTGGCGCCTCTTGAACTCTCGCCTGGTGAAATAAACGTCACTGAAAATGTTGACCAAGTCACCCTGGAGGCCCCCCCCCAATGTTGACCAAGTCACCCTGGAATGCCCCCCTCACCCCCCCGATCTTGAGCACGTGTGAAGGGATTCGAGATCGCTGTGTCCGGCGCCGCGCGAGATGAGCGGGTGCCCAAACTGGCAGTACAGAATCAGAATCTTTATTCATACCGACGGGATCCGACGAGCTATGAAGCTTTTTTTCACAGATGTCGAGTACAGCTGTGAGACTCAAGGGATATGGGTGGGGTCTGGCCAACCGTGGTGTCGGGGTCACGACCATCCGCATAGAATCTACGAAACAAGATGGACCCAAACAATGGAATGGGGTGAAATGTGAAAAAAAACATCAAAGATAGCTGTAAGGAATGAATAGTGACGGAAGAAGAGAGATAGAACACCTGTCAACCCCTTATCAGTGCCCTATCTTATTTCAGACCAATTCAGACCTCATTGGTCACCCCGTGCCCTTATAAATCTCAACGTTCATCCTAAAAAGTCCCATCACAAGGGAGAACCACAAAGAGAAAAAAAATGTTGTTGCCCGTATTGAAACGACTTTAACGCCGTATGGCCCTGGAAACTCAATTTCCCTGTACAAGAATACGGGGTAAACCGTATGGGTTGACAGGCATGAAGGTTACACAAATTTGGAGAAGATTTTGTACATCGACCAACCACGGCAGCACGTTGGATGACAAATCGTGATGAAACCAGCGTCGCTCATCAATCAGAGCGCTGGAACTGCGGGTGTATGCAGCCACTACAAGAAATGTCTTCTCCGGGTATTCAATGATTTAGCTTCACAGGAGCATTCATGAAGAACAGGTGAGACAACAACGAGTGTTCATACAAAGCGTTTGTTTAATGGTCGTTTAAAAACAAAGCAACAAAGAATTTGCCACGCTTGAAATAAACCGACAAAAAGTTTATTACCATATTCATCAAAGGAGCGATACGATGTTGAACGCCAGTCGCAAATACTGTAATTAGTGTTGACTAAAATGTCAGTCAGCCCTTTCTTTATATCAACTGCAGTTAAGAAGTTTAACGACTCAAAAACGATCAAACTGTGCACGAACTAGCAGCACGACACGTCAGATGTCTACGGAAGCAAACACCCACTGGTGTTGAGAACACTTGCCACTGTTTAGTTATTGACAGTCTTCGCGGTGCTGGGGGTCACCGGTGGGGGTCACCCGTGCAACCTCGATTCATTTCAACTGTCGCCAAAGATGATAACGCTGCGTTCACTGACAATTTTTATTTTTTCTATGGGCCATTTCGCACAAGACGTCCAATTGTGGACATCGCTCGCCACACTTACACAACCGTAATCCACGTTGTTCCCACATTTCCCGCCCATCCCACTCCCCACCCCCCCCCCCCCCCCGATTACAAAAACGCCATCTTCTCTTTGGTTGTCCATCTGTAGACCACACTTTGTTAAAATTTCAATAAAAGGTTAAGACAACAAACAAATTGTAGGTCGGCATTCTCAACGACGAGTAAGGCCCTGTGCAGATAGGGGAAACAGGCCCCTAGTTGCCAATCTGGTCCTGGAAGATGGAACTTACGGGTGCCCTTAAAAAAGGGGGCATAACTGACATAGCCCCTAAATATTAATTCATCTAACACTTTATGTACGTTGCATTTCTTTCGTACCATATGCAGCCAACTGGTAGTAATCAGAGGTGTGATATGGCTGCGTGTATCATCGGACACACGGCGAGCAGCCACAGTGGTTCCCCGTGGCGTTGAGTCATTGCTGACGAGTTAAACTGCCGCCCCCCCCCCCCGCAGAGCACGTACGCGAGATGCTCGGAGAAGCGGTGGCGAAGATCTTTCTCCTGCGTCATTCGCCTTCTCTCGCTGCGTGCACTTTCCCCGCATTACGCCCACACGACTTTCCCCCTCCCGCCGCGCCAGCGATTGCTTTCACGCCGCTAAATGACGAACTGCGGGAGGTGTGCGCAATCACGTCTTGACGATTGCCCTAACATCTGGGGGCGCGTGCGTGTGCAGTCACGCGCTGCGTAGCTTTGGCTAAATGCAACGCAGACTGATGTCTTGTATGGGAACGCACACAAAGTATACTTCATCGTGTTCATTGGCAACAATGAGCATTTGCTGTGTGAAGGAGCTATAGTGGGGGGCGGGGGGGAAGGACGGAGCGTTCTTAACGTAATAAAATGCGAAGGGGAAGAGTAGAGCCCTCGAATATCTTGTTCAGTGCACTGGTGGTGGAAGGCCCCCACCCCCCCCTACTAGAGGGAGCTCTGTAGAACGCCTCTGGAGCGAATTTGGCCTAATCTTCCAGACCAGCCAAACGTCTTGGAAGAGGTGGGAGTACCCACACTTTACCCCACCACACCACGTGACCATATGCTGGGTGGATAAAGGTGGGGGGGGGGGGGATATACACAACACCACACCAGCAACCATTCATATATCGGATTTTTTTTTTACACGTTTGCAATTTTCCTAAGCGATGAATCTCTCATACTCCTACGGTCTAAATGGTCTCGTGATATTGCACTCATTAATTTTAGCAGTCGCCTGCTTACAGGTCTATAGGGTCCAGATTAATCAGAGTTGTACGTTGGCTGGCTTAAAATACTCTTTAGAACACCGTCTGATGGAACAGGCGTCCCATTACCAAACGCAGCCGTAGACAAATCCTTGCGACCACTCCCGCAGCATCTCCGTTAGCTCAAATTGAATGCGCGGGGAACTGCAAACGACACGGGAGATGCATCTGCGTCTTATACTCCACGTGAATTGTCATTGTGCCTGTGCTCTCTAAACCCCCGGGAGAGGTTACGCGTGTTCAACCAGGCGGCAGGCACACACCTGCCGATTGCTGAATAAGGCATGCGGGCCGGCGATTGCCAACAATGAGCCAGGGCTATGTTTTTGGGTCACCTATTGGTCCATGTCAGGCAAATATATATATTTTTAAAGGGACCGCAAATCCCACCCCCACCCACCCAACCCCAGTTAGACAAGGAATTTCGTTACACTTGCAGAAGTTACGTATAAAATAATACTTCTCTTATCAATATACTGTAGTACTGTGATAAAGTATACAATCGTAATATTACAAGGACTCTATTACTTTATTTACACTCACACCGAACGACATTCTCTGGAACCCCCTACCCCCGCCACCCCCTCAACAAAAAAAATAACAATATATAAAACAAGCATTTTACAAAACTAAATTTTAACGGCAAAAAAAAATCTCTAAAAAATATTTCTTAAAACAGAAAAAAATTGGAGAGTTAACAAATAAATTTGTGTTTAAATTAGAAACGAGTGGGTGGGGGGAGGAGGAGGAGGGAGGGTTTTTTTGCCGAGACAATCATTAGCTCTGCTGGGCGATGCTCAGCGAGGGCGCGCTCATGTCCAGGCGGAGTTTCTCCCACTCAGACGCGGCTCCTTTCAGCTGCGGATGCTGCTGCTGCTGCTGCTTGAGGAGCTTGGGGATGGGTGGGTCCTCTTCTCCTGCAGCCGGGAACAAAAACAAACCGGGCAGACCACCGTCAGCATAGCCTGACGTGAACAACTTGCACCACCACCATAATCATGGCTTTGAAGATTGTTTTTTTTTCCGTTAAAGACGGTGCAATTCATCTCAATTGCAGGGCAGCGTTGTCAGCCGAAGGTAGGGCAGCACAATCTGTTGGACTGTACTATGCACCAGTCGTACAATGCATCCTGCTTACACTGACCGGTACAGACCAGCGTGGTGAAGTATGGTCAAATAAATTCCAGTGCCCGCATGGCAACTTGCAACGCATTGACAAGTGCTGCAGCTTAAATAGATGCTCCAAGCGTGGTGGTGTTTTTCTTTTAGACGCTGTCGCCTCGACAGACCTGTCTTCACATGAGGACGGCTACTTGTGTTGTGGCCGAAACGTCGTGAGAATTATTTTAGTATGTTTTATTTTTATTATTTTATTACTTCCCTTCTACGTGACTTTACCGAAAGAACCAAGAAGATGAATCCCTGCAGTCACGAAAGCTTTAAATCGAAAATCATGTCAATAATGGGAACACTTTGTGGCAAGTGATTCCGATCAGTTTGTTGTGGCCACATTTTTGTAAGGATTTACAAAAAATATCTGTGGTTGAAGCTAAGTGGATCGATGCATTTCGTTATAACTCATGCAATATATGTTGTCTTTAAAAAAGTGTAACATTTTATAAGGTTTTGGATTGATTATTAATTCAGTTTTTTTCGTGATCTGTGCATAAGAAGTTCAGAGAAACAATAACACATTCCTGCGCTGTACAAACACGATCACAGAATTATCAAGGGTCACGGAAGTTACACGTGCGTTTCACGAAATCCCCTCTCAAAGCCGAGGCGTGCCTTGTCCAAGAGACGCAGTCTTTGTTATGTCAAGCACCGGTAAATCACTGGCCACCGTCGACAATCAGAACCCGCAGACGCAGCGCACTTCGCTGACTCCACACGCAGGTGTGCCCAGCTTCACTTGCCCCCGGGAGGTGACACGGGGGGGGGGAGGGAGCCGAGCGTGACACGGCACAGAGGGCGCGTGTGGGGAGATGAGGGTGAAGACGATGTGCGGATGACGGACACCACAGTGTCAGGCTAGCGCTGAACCGCGGGCTCGGGCATCGTGGAGAAGTCGCCCGCGTCCATTGTTTCCCAAGCCTCTCTTTCTCCGAAGCAGCTCGCGGTGCATTCGTTCACGAGCGAGAACAGATTGACACCCATGCTCGCGGTGCACGCGTCGAATATGGCGCGCGAGAATCAACCGATTTCAACTCTTACATGTCGCGCGTAAAATTGATTGGCGTGGCTCCTACTGGAGGCGCTGCATTCGCCACAGCGGTGAAAATCAAAAAAAATTAAGTGTCAAAATCTTGAGTCGAATTGTGACCCCCGATTCGTGATAATTCGTCCAATCGCAAAGGGGATTCACTTAACAGGCTGTTGGGGCAAGTGCTGTTAAGCGAGCACCTATGAAGGCCAGCACGCCACATGGGGTGGGGTGACCAGCACCACGCCCGGCCGCCTTTGTCTCCACAGTGGCGATGATTTTACACACCGCACCAGGTACTCATTTGATGCTGAGTCGACCTAGGAGTGGCCCAGGACCGGTTCAGATCATCGTCACTGGTGTTGGCCGTGAGCGGGAATCGGAACTCGGGTCGCCGGGGTCAGAGTGCAGCGCGCTAACCGCGACGCAAAATATCGACTCCTACACACACACACAACAGGGTGTGTGTAGACATGTGGGTTGGGGGGGCGAGCTGTTGACACACAGGAGGGGGAGGAGTAGGAGCTCGTGACAAGCAGCAGGGATGGGGGAGTCAGTAGATTTACAGGCGACTGAACGAGACAGCCCCCTTGGAAGGGATGGCTCACTCCCATTAATGTCAGAACATCTGCACGAGTTTTTGTGGCTGATGCAGGTGTGTGGCATTAACCGCATCGCCCCAGCCTCCCTTCGCAGAGGTCGTTTCATCTCAGCAGCCCTGAGGCCACCCCCAACCTCCTCCAGAGGGGCACACCCCCCCCCCTTCCTCTACGCACTCGCACGCGATTGTGATTTACTCTGCCATTAATCAGGCCGCAATCCAAAACGGCGGCCTTTGCCTTGACCGACGGTGGCGGATCGGTCAGGCAGTAGCCACGACCATTTCTCCGACCGCATCGGCTATTTGTCCACGCTCGCTGGCCGACCAAAAACTGCGAGCCGTTGTAGTTGTTCGACCGTGCAGCTTCGCAACACGGTTATCGACAGGACGAGAGATCACGCGATTTAATGATGCAAAAAATGCATGTGGTTTATTGGAATCAACCGGCCATCGGATGTGCACTGCACCACTTATCAAATGGACATCTACACACAGCACTCCATCATGTGACAGTTGTGCCCAGAGTAAATATCATTCATTAAAATTATTAAACGCATCGATAAACTACCAGGGTGCAGTAACACGCTGGGGGCCTTGCCACAATCTTGCCCGGATGCATTAAGTAAATGCGTCCCCCACCATTTAAAAAAATCGACAGCGTGGTTTGCCGGCAAATATTTCCCCGCTCCTTTATCTCGGCGAACACCGCCTGGAATTATCTTAAAACACGAAACGGACCGTTACGTCTGTTCTTCACAAAGTGAGACACAAACAAGGGCTCGCCCCCCCCAACCCCTCTTTGATCGCGGCCCGCTTCTAATTTAACGTTGTACGAGGAGGGGGGAGGAGGGGGGGGGTAAGGGGATACGGTGCCCGAGGCAGGCGTTTAGTAACTCCAGAAAATGGTTGTGGCCATCTACGGCTCTGTGTCACCGCTCGCTAGCGCAAAGCGCTACGTCGCTGCAGGCCAGAATAGAATACGGGCGGACGAAGCCGCGGCACCGGACGGAGGCCCCCATTATTCTGATCCCTTTGCCTGCAGTTCAAAGTCAAGCCTCGTAATGGTGCAGGCACCGACGGTAAGGAGGCGGAGGGGCGTTGGGGGGCGAGGGAGGCGGGGGGGCGGTTTGGGGAGCGGAGATGAAAGGAGGTTGCTAATGGGCTCTCGCTCGAAAGCAACAAAGAGAAATGTCCGAACGCGAACAAGGCCAGAAGAATATGGGGGTCACCGTTCCGCACGTCCCATCAGCACGGTCGGCTACGTACGGTGCGAACGAAGTTCAACACGCAAACAGTACATGCACGCGGAATCAAGGATGCCGATCCGGAGCAAGAGGATGTCGTAAGAGATTCCTCTGTGCAGACGGAGATTCAAATGGACACGAGATAGCTCTTCAGGAGTAGTTTGTACATTGATGGAATTCACTTTGTTTGATCAGTGTGGGCAACACATTCGATTTGTGTGCGGCACAGCACAGTTAGATGTTTTGATAGACTTCTTCACCTCCACAACGGGGTGGGTTTTTAAAGCTCTTTTTCAAATATTTGTGTCTTTTTAAAAGACCTAAACCTAAAGGTGTTCCCGAGGCCTGATATGAGTTTGTTTGAATGAATGTTCAAACTTAATAAAGCTTGGTAAAAATGTAAGTTGTAACAATGCATTGATTTGTTGATTTATGTAAACTTTGCGCATGAGAATCAATGTTTATCGATTCATGTTTGTTGTAATAGGTAATCGTGACCCACGCAGTGAGCAGTGCCCGCCACATTCACCGTGACCTTGCAAAGAACATTGACTCTCGACTCAAATCACGACCCGAAATCTCGACGATTCATGGACTCCACCTGTTGTGAAATATGAAACAAGACTCTCAGGATGCTAGATAATTCTTGCATCAAGTTTTCCACCAATATTGAAAATATTTTTTGAGAGAAGCATTACTTAGAAAACATCACAAACAATAGCACAAGTGCACACAACGTGTGCGTCCATCATGTACTCAAAACACATTAGCTAGTGGTCCCAAACCAACCATTTCTCTTCTTGGTACAACTCTGGATATCAAACAAGTTTGTTGCAAAAATAATATTTTTTCTGAAAACCTCGTCATTTTAAGGGAGCTTGTGTCCAATCTAGCGAGATCTAAGCGTGTTTGAGAGCATGCAAAAGTGCTTGGATGGGCGATCACCACGCACGCAACCGGTTTTCATATTGCCTGCAGGGTTACGTGCTAGGCAGCAGAGGGCAGTACAGCAGAGAGAGTTATTGGACTGTACTTTGACGCTCCCACACCCATAAATCCATCTTCACAAACCCGAACTGACCGGCACGGTGAAGTACACGAATTCAATTAATCAGAGTTTTTTTATTAACTCCCATCACCCAGTACAACAATGCTTTGTGATGAAGTGGGGAGGCTCTCATCCAGCAGTAGATAGACAAACATATTCGTAGACACTATGTAAATGCAGAAGAGAAGTTTTGATATATTTGGAACGGGATGCTGCCCCCCGCCCGCCCGCCCGCCCCCCCAGTTCTAAAGAAATGAGTTGTCAATCCATATGATTTAAAAGTGCACAGCTCCACGCGGCTTCCTAACATCGGAAGGAAGAGCGTTCCAGACATCCGCAGAAGCGCACCTGAAAGTGAGCCATGCCGTGGCCCGTCTTCGTTCGACGGTTAACCGAAAGCCGCTGCTACGCGGATGACCGGAGTTTTCGTGAGAAATTTGGCAAATTTACCCCAAAAAATTGGTAAAATTTGCCAAATTTGTTACAAGAATACCGCCGCATTTCAGACGGGTGGTCACTGCTGGCAAACCGAACCGCGACGCTCCGAGCGTTCGCCTCACCGAGCCCCGAGGACGAGGAGATGCTGCCCGTGGTCGAGTCGGTCTCGCCGGGCTCCGGCGCGAGCAGGGGCAGCGCCGACTCGTGCTGCAGCGAGGGCAGCGAGGGGCCCTGGGCCAGGGAGGGCAGCGAAGCGCCCCGCGTCAGGGACGGCGGCGCTTCGTAAATCCCCGAGTCGCGCAGCAGCCGCAGGGCCTGCCGGTCGGGGGAGCCGCACGCGTCGCGCCGGGGCGGCAGCAGCGGGGACGCCAGCGCCGCCTCCCCTCCGCGCGCCTCCGCCGAGCCCAGCCCCGCGTGCCTCCCCTTGGCTCCCGCGTCGCTCCCCTCGTCGTCGTCGTCTTCGTCTCTCTCTTCCGCCCGGGGCATGTGCCGGATCACGGGCACGCTCAGCAGGCCGCCCGCTCGCGCTCTGCAGCCGCCGCCGACGACGACGACGGACGGGGTGCCGCCCCCGCCGCACGCGCCGAGGTCGCGCGACGCCGCCGAGCCGCCCCCCGACCGCGCGGCGGCGCGGCCGTAACCGTAACCGCGCGTCGCTCGCCCGCACGCGGCCCTCGGCGCCTGCACGCAGCCCCGCTCGGCCGAGATCCTCTCCATCCCGTCCCGGCCGCGCCGCCTGTGGCTCCACCCGACGGCGGCCGCCGCCGCCCCCGCCCCCTCCTCCTCCCTCTCCGACGCGGCGCTCGACGGCGGCGGCCGCGTCGTGTCCACGTGGCCCGGTGCCCGCGGCGGCGTGCACTGCCGCTGGAACCAGTCGGGCGTCTGCCGGATGTAGCTGTGCACGTCGGCCACGGCGTCGGCCAGCGCGCGGCCCGCCGCCGCCGACCGCAGGAGGCCCTCGGCGTCGAGCTGCCGCTGCTGCGGCGCCGCCGCCGTCGCCTCCGCCGCCGTCTCGCCGTCGCGTCCGGCGTGCAGCCGCTCCACGAGCTGCGGCAGCGCCTCGGGGAGGCGGAACTTGGCGCCCGGCAGCTCGAGGACGGCCGGCGCGTCCTGCTCGCTGGAGTAGTCGAAGTAGACGCCGAGGACGCGGTCGCCCGCCCCCGAGCGCTCGACGCCCGCGCCGCCCGCCGGGGCCCTGTGCCGGCGCAGGTGTTCGGCAATCATGGGCACGGCCGCGATGAAGAGGTCGGCGAGGCCCTGGCCGGAGCGGCGGCGCGCGCCCCTCCCGGCGTGGGCGCCCCCCGCCCCCCGGTGCCGTCGGCGCTTGTCCACGAAGAACTTGAGGCCCTTGGAGCAGACGACGAGGATGAAGTCGGACTCGTTGATCTGCCGGTCGAGCCAGTCCAGCTTGCCCTCGGCGCTGATGATCAGCTGCTCCCACAGGTCGACGCTCACCTGAAAGGAGAGCGGGGTGGGGGGGGGGGTTGGAGCCACGTCGTGCCACTGCGTCAACGGCGGGTGGGTTCAGTCGTTCCTTCACCGAGTGCTCGGTGGTCTCACTTCTGCGAGGTGGCAGCGGGGAATTGGGTTGAGTCAACGGGTGACTAATTTGGTTGGACCTATCCGAGGGCTGGAACTGTTATCCCCTTGTGTGGTGGGGTTTTTCCACCGCACTCCTGTGACCCACCCACGTGCCAAACACCCACGAGACGGAACTGGCCAAAAGCATCCCGGTCGCGATTTTAGGGAACGGCACGTGCAGCCGTTTGACCCACCGCACTCAAAATTTTACGAATCGATTCCTGCAGAGAATAAATCGTGACCCCCCCCCCGATGGAATTGCGAGGGAAGTCATTGATTGCATGCCTCGTGACCATCGTGGGGAATGCGTGTTTGGGTACGAGGGGGGGGGGTGGGTGGGTGGGCAGGAGGTTTTGATCGGTGGGGGAGAGGTGATCGCGTGTCTGGATAAGTGGAACGCTCGCTTGTCTAGGCCGGCTGGCTCGCTCGCTCACCCTGCAACCGGCGCACTCCTGCAGGAAGCGCGCGAGGTGGAGCACGGCGCTCGTGTGCTTCTGCCCGTCGCGGCCCGAGTAGCAGAGGAAGATCTTGGGGCGCGAGCGTTCGCCCACCGCTCCCACGAACTGTGAGCAGACCTCCGAGCTCTCGTCGTCCGTGAACTCGTGGTAGCCTCCCTCGGCTGAGACGGGGGACGAGGCGAGGGGAACGGGGCGAACGGGGGGGGGGGAACGGGAGAGGTGGACAGGGCCAAAGTGAGTGAGCGGCGATCGGGATGATTGTGATGGTGGAGGGAGAGTATGAGGGGAGAGTGATGGTGGTAGAGAGTCATGGGAGAGTGAAAGGGTAGAGAGGGAGGGAAAGGAGTGGTAATGAGGGAAAAGCGGTAATGAAGAGAAAGAGTGGTGGATGAAGGTAGCGATGGCAGAGTGATGATGAAGGGAAAATGATAGAGTGAACGATTAAAAGGATGGAGAATGACAGGGAGTGGACAAAGATGGTTGGGCGAGGGGGGAGGAAAAGGGAAAGAGAGAGAGAGAGAGGGAGAGAGGAAATGGCAAGGGAGTAGAAAGGAAGGAGGCCACGGCAGGACGAGTGTTTCCCATTAGCCGCACATCTGACACTCGAGACCATTTACGTTTCATTGCACTGCACACGGTGCGCACAGGGCCGCCGCCGTGCGTCACGTCGCTCACCGGGGACACGTTTGCAAGCGCCCCGGCGCCACCGCTAAAGGCCTCGACGTGACCCAGCGTGCTCGTTACCGTCCCACGCCGCGCAAATTTGCAAAGAGCCGGCGGGGAGCACGGAAGGGATCGGCTTAAGAGCGCGGATAGCGCTAGAAGGCGGCTTGTGGCTACGGTTAGCCGGCGTCGCGTTATTAAAACGCGGCGTACCGCGTAAGAGAGAGCGGCAGGGTCGCCTGTCGCGGAGAGACCGCGACGGACTGCGGCGATCGGTGAAGCCGTGAGAGTTGAAGTCTAGGAGTGAAACGAGCACACGGTCACCGGCCGGCGTTACTTGGACGACGACTAACGGCCAAAGACGTGAGCTAGCAGAGCACGCGGTTAGACCGACGCACTCATCGACGCGTTGGGGCACGTCGGTTAACCAACCGCCTGCTCTGCTCGTGGCAACCTTGCACTCTCTTGGTTTTATGACGTGAGAGAGAATAATTAGGAATAGAAAACTAAACTAGGCAATTTTTATCTTACCAAGTAAGGCCCACTAAACCTTACCTGAGCACAAATGATAGCTCTGATTAGCACGGTTGGCTACATACGGCGCGAAAGAAGTTCAACATACATACAACGAAGCGGCTTATCACGTGCCAGATATTCTAAATGCATATTTCAGAATGTGGAGGGAAAAACCAGAGGACCCGTAGAAAAATCCACGCGACCACGGAGACAGAGAGAGAGAGAGAAACATGCAAACTCCAAATATACAGCAGCAGGCGTCAGGGGTCGGGATCGAACCCACGACCTCCTGTATACCAGCCGAGGTAGTTAACATCTCCTAGCCACCGTGATGACGATGAGAGAGAGACACGCAAACTCCAAATATACAGCAGCAGGCGTCAGAGGTCGGGATCGAACCCACGACCTCCTGTATACCAGGCGAGGCAGTTAACATCTCCTAGCCACCGTGATGACGATGATGAGAGAGAGACACACAAACTCCAAATATACAGCAGCAGGCGTCAGGGGTCGGGATCGAACCCACGACCTCCTGTATACCAGCCGAGGTAGTTAACATCTCCTAGCCACCGTGATGACGATGATGAGAGAGAGACACACAAACTCCAAATATACAGCAGCAGGCGTCAGGGGTCGGGATCGAACCCACGACCTCCTGTATACCAGGTGAGGCAGTTAACATCTCATAGCCACCGTGATGACGATGATGAGAGAGAGACACACAAACTCCAAATATACAGCAGCAGGCGTCAGGGGTCGGGATCGAACCCACGACCTCCTGTATACCAGGCGAGGCAGTTAACATCTCATAGCCACCGTGATTTCAGTCTTCCCAAAAGATTATTTATTCCCCCCCCACCGCACCGTGATGTTCGGCGCGTGGCGGCGGCGGCGGCGTCTCACCCTGCGTGTTGCTGCGGCACACGAGTGTGAGGAACGTCGCCACGGCGGCGGCCGCCACGATGGGCACGGTGATGGCGATGGCGCGGAGAGGCCCGCTCCACGGGGAAGGCGCCGACACTGCGCGCCCGCCGTGAAAGAGAGGACATTGTCATCGCCGCCGCCGTGGTCACACCATCGTCATCGTCACACCATCATCGTTGTCGTCGTCACACCAAAGACATCGCGGTCGCTGCTGTCATTACAATTCATGTCCACTGTTATCGTCGCTCATCATTACTGTCACTGATATTATTATTCATAACAGAGGTTTTTTTGGGTTGGCTCTCGTGAATATAAATGTGCCGCCAACCGACACAGGAAATTAGTTTTTATTATGTAAGCAGAACGTGGCCAATTCGTCACGAGTACACTACATTGGTGTGTTGAAGAGCAAATCCACAACATTTAGAATCCGATTACGACATTTCGCCAGGAATTTTCTGTTTACGTGACAAACCGTACTAGTTGGCTGTCTTGGCTGGCGGCGGGCTTAACGATACATTTATAATTACGCAATCTAACCCAAAAAAACCTATATTATGGATGATATTGGTCGCGTAAAGCCTACGTGTTAAACATTATTATTATTACTGCTGCAGTAATTAGACTGTCCTTTCTCATCTCAGACATTACATCAACTATGCTTATTGTAAGAATCGGCAGAAACATTTGGTGAGCGTACGACTCAAAGCGAGTGAGACTGAACAGCCCGATTTGCACACGTCTGTCCGTGTGTATGCATGCGTCTTTGTCCATTTGCAATATCGTGAAACCACCGTTCAAAATTTCGGTGACATTTTCGGTTTGTTCGGGATGATCGCTTCCCGATTGGGGTGCTTTGTCGGGTCGCACAGTCAAAAAAAAATGCCACGGAAGAAAGGAAGTAAGCAGTTGCGGATGAACTGACGACGCTAAACGCATCGCTCGCGTCAACGAAGCCCCCACCCCCCCACCACAAGGAGAGAGAGGCACAGAGGGCCGCGAGGGCGTTACCGTGGGTAACGGTGAAGATGGCTCTTTTCCTCTGGGCATCCACGCTGTTCAGAGACACCTGGCGGAGGACATCAGAGCTGTCATCGTCCACCAGTAGCAACTCCGTGAAACTCGCTCTCACCTTGACTCAAAAGTGGAATACGGTCAGTCCTCGCACAACGCGTCGTCGCAACAACGCGGTTTCTGCAGCACTATTCGCACAATGCGGAGCGCCCCCCCCCCCCCCGCGGATTCTGGGCGGTCCGTGATGAACTACTTTCGTGAGCTGTGCACCTGAGCGGAGTGATACAGTAACGCGGCGGCGTACCCTCCTCATCCGCCGAGCTATTTTCCCCGCCGTGGGATGGCTGCAGGCTGATTGTAGAGTGCAAATGTGATTCAGTAAGCAGGAAATTCCTCGCTTAACGCCGTTTTCGCTTGACGCGGCACTTTTAAAGAAAGCATCTACTACTGTACCGCGTTAAGTGAGGGGATTACTGTACACATAGCAATCATCGTCCCCTACTGCAAAAACTTGGCACGGCCCTCCGAGTAGAGTCTGTTGTTTTCATCACGCGATTTGAATATAACGCGATGAATGTATCAGGGAACACTTTTTTTTATAACGCGGGATGCGATTTGGCTATAACGTGATCGAGTGAACGGAACTCCGTCGCGCGAGTTGGAACAAGCGGTAGTGCGGCTGCCTCGGCGTAGCGTCATCGCACAAGGCGGCGGGATGCTGCTGGATGCTTCTCGACGAGACCCACGCGCATCGGTCTTTGTTCAGCCTGAGTACGCACCTCACGTGTTATCGCGGACTGTGCTTTACCCTACATTAAATGTTATTTATTATAAAGCGATTTTTCCATAAAGCGGTGCTCTACGGGAACACAAACTACCGGGCTATAGGAGAACGGACCGCACTCCCTCCTTCCCCCGGGGGGTCACCCTTGATCAAGAGCTTGGTGCTGGCTCAATGGGTCTTCTCCCCGGGGGATACCAACAATAAAATACACGAGATTTTGGATGAGCGAGAGGCTTTCCCGGGTAAACAAGCATCACCGCCAGTCACTGTGAACGCCGCAAATGGTTTGGGGGGGGGGGGTCACATTCCCGCATGAGTGCTGCATTAGTTGTTACTTTACACCCCCTGCCCCCCTCCCCAGTGAAACTACGAAACTCTTCTCTCTCTAATCGGGCAGTGCAAGGGCTGGGGGAAAAAAATCAAAGCCCGAGTTGACGACGAAAGTGTCGAGCCAATATTAATAAAACCTGAAAATCTGAAGAATTACATTGAAGCCGTCACCCCCACCTCCTTAAAGCCTCCTTCCGTTCCTCTCTTAAAGCCGGTTAGACTTTAACCCAAAATAGGACATTGTCTAATAAGGCAAAACTAATGTCGAAGGTGACGAGATTCATGTAGTCGTAATTATCACATTGAGCTTGCACACCACTGCCAAAGCACTCCCGTAATTATTATATTTTCGCGATCAGAGGCGGATGTTTTGCGGTGGGTACCTCGATGACGTAAGTGGCTCCGGGCTGCAGGTTGCGCAGGCTGACCCAGCCGTAAGTGAAGTTTTTGTCCTTGGGCTGCGATCAGGGGGGGGGCAGGCAGAAGAGTGAACAATGAGGGCCTCCCCATAGCACCACAAACACGTGACCTTGTTACACGATATAACAAGGCTACATGTTTCTCTGTTTATACTGTTTTTTATTATGTTAAGAGCCTTCATCGAAGCCAATCGACACATATAAACGAAAATAAGACCATCAATTGTACATGCTAATTGCACCTCCGATCAGCACGGTTGGCTACGTACGGTGGCGAAAGAAGATTAACGTAAATACGTACGACGTGTCGGACGACTCCAGGTGTCTACCACCACCACGAACTAAACTCCGGCCATGCTCCAGCCAGCCACCGCCACTTGGCACTCACCACGCGCACGGCCGTCTTGTTCTCCGAGACGGGCGAGCAGGCGAGCAGGGCGGCCCCCAGCGGCGGCGCCGGAGCGGCGCACGCCTCGGGCCGCACGCCCGCATACACCTACGTACGACTCGACGCCGAACGACGGCGGCGCCAGGTCAAAGGTCACGTTCACGTCCGTGCCCTGCTGCGTCACGTTCACCGTCTTGGGGAACCAGTCTGCACGAGCGGGAATGCGCAAGAGGAACACTCTTTACATTGAAAAATTCACACCCACTGCTCTCCGCGCATGATTATGTTACGCTTGGCAAAACGTGCGTTTGTCTTTGGAATTATTTAATTCGCAGTGCAGAAGCCGGTGGGTAGTTGTCGGGCCAAAATGCAGAGTGCTCTGCTTTAACATGCATCCTGCGACAGGGATATTTGTCGCATGGCTGTTAAACTCATGGGTTGTAACCTTATAACTTCTGGCCATGTTATTGTCAGAGCAGGGATTTTTTTTTTATTATGGGAAAAAAAACAACGCAAAATTTGGGTGTTTTTGGTCACCAGGGCTGGGGACTCTCAACTCGCTGCACTTGAGACTCTGATTTAATCAAAAGAGACTGAAATTTGGATTGGAACCCATGATCTCAAGAGTGCCTACTCAGTGCTCGGACGCCTGGGCCACCTGGCAACCTCATAAGCGATGTCCAGAAAAACCACGACAGTGATTCATGCGAGTGGCTATGCCGGGTGTTCCTTGACCACACCCCACCACCACCACCGTGAATTCTCATTTAAAATCTCCGTCAACGTACAGGTGGGCAAGCCCAGAATCACATTTACGAACGCCATAAATCAGTTTAACACGGAGGCTTTCACGACCAATATCATCCATAACAGGTTTCTTTTGTTTGGTTAGATCGCGTTCGAACGTGCAACATTGAATCGTTTCAATGTTTGCACGCAGCAAATGCACGCTTGGCTCCGATGCAGAACGCCCCACTAGGTGGCAGAGTTCACTGCAGACATTCACACCACCGGCGCAGTCCCCTACAGCGGTGGTTTCTCAACAACAGCACGGTCCCGGGACCACCGGGCGGTCCGTGACGCTCCTCCACGTGGTGCGTGGGGGGGGATGTGATGCTAAACGCGGGTTGATCCGGACAATAATGACAACGCTTTAAAACTTTTGCTTCGGACATTAATATTTTACTCACGATATTTATTTTCGAAATGAAGTTAGGCAAACTACCCTGATGAAACTACCACAACCCTAAGATCGAAATGCCTACCTTAAAACCAAAAAAACCTTATAGCTGCACACCAAAAAATGTTCTGGCCATATGAATCATTATGTATTCCTGGCATTTAGAGAGATAATTGAATGCGTTTTGCTGCCAGGGGTGGAAAGGGGGCTGGGGTGGGAGGCGTGCTCCGTGGAAATGTTTGCATCGGCCACCCGGCCTCCGGTGCGCGAATCGCCGGAGGCCTGCGAGGCCGCAGGAAACCGGCCCCCCGCACGCAATTGTTGCGGATCGGATTTTCTTCACTCAATATACGTGGACTCATGAGCGGAGTTTGCGGCGGGGGCGGGAGGGGGGGGCAATGCCCCGCCCAAACTGAAAACTTTTATTAATTTTTTTTCAGCAGTTGCTAATTAAGATTAAAAATAAATTTATTACACGCACCCCCGATTCTTAATGTGAGGGACAAAGCGAACCCCTGCCCACCACCCCCAACTCCACCAATCTGTGTAATGTTACTATGTACGGTGGTGTGTGAACGTGTGTGTTGAGTGTTGACGGTGGGTCCACAGCTCCGGAGAGATTGGGACCCGCCGCGCCGCGCTGCACGGCTTGCTGGAGAGGGCACTGTGAGAGTGCGAGCACTCGCATGACTTTTCAGGTTGACCCAGGACAATAGATGATTTAATTGGGCATTAAACTACGTCCGACTGGGGTGGCAGTGGTTAGAACTCGTGACTTTGCACGGTTGGCTAGGTACGATGTGAAATGAGTTCAACATACGCGCATAATTAATCAAGATGTTGGGAGTTCAAGTCTCAACAATTATTGTAATTAAAGATCCGTGCCGCGTACCATCTGTGTCAACGCAGGACGCTCCATGAAATGGAGCCTATACAACACAGCTCATTAGGCCCTTCCTGCTATGGAAATAAATAACATCTATGAATAAATAAATAATCTGTCAAATCTTGTGGCCGTTAAGAGGACTGCCACTGTGGGCGGGAAGGCAACAGTGCTTGTCCTATGGATGAACTTTCCCCGACCCATAGGAATGTGGAATTTCCACCACTTGCTTCTGATAATAAGCAGGAGACGTGCACAGAAGCATGCTCACTTGAACAAGAAACCACTGTTTTGCTTTTGAAATAACATCTATCTTCGCAGCGAGCGTTAACTTGTAATATGACAGTATTCTATACTCACAAAGGCGTTACACGTTCCCAGCGGCGAAGAAAAACTGCCGTCAAATTTTACACCGCAAGCAAATGAATATAAGGCGAACAGGGAAGCGTGAAGATACCAAAGGCATGTTGTTCAAACAACAAACTAAACATGCAAAGGGAAATAGCTAACTGTAGTATTCCAAATCGAATTGTAGTGTCGGAAAACAGCCTTCGATTCAAGAATTGAGACTAGCACAGAAACCCATAGTGTGCTGTCCTTTGCACCGCACCTCCGATTAGCACAGCTGGCTATGTACGATGCGAAAGAAGTTCAACACACATACGTACGAAAGCCACATTGTGTTGTTTTTTTACACACCCAGGATCGTGAGCGCAAATTTCACAATTCATCAGCCAAAGAAATGTGTCTTGCTGCTCAAATCAGCAATGGGGGAGGCACTAATCTTGTGTTGGCAGCAGAGGAAATTCCATATTCCCGTGGCAGGAGCAAGTCCCTCCAAAAAGACAACCGTTGCCGACTCGCAGCAAAAGAGCACTCACTATGTTGGTCCCCCGAGGGGCGATGGACTGAGTGGACCCCTGTCTGGGACTTGAAACGTTGCAACCTTATAACTTCTGGCCATGTTATAATTAAGAGAACCTCCGTGTAAAACAGAACCACGTGTAGTGTAGTAGGAGGGAGCTGCAGCCAGTCGAATTACAGGCAGCAAAAGAGGCCCTATTTAATCTTGATTTGAAGCTTTCGTGACTGCAGGAATCCATACTCTTTGGTTCTTTCGGTAAAGTCCAGCATAATCCAGCAGTTCCACTGCTGGATTATATTTTTTTCCGCCTGCGGACGACAGCTTGTGTTGCGATCGAAACGTCGCGATTTATTTAATTGTATACCTACGTGACTTTAGCGAAATAACCAAAGGCCCTACTTAGTTATATTTGCCGATGCATTTCTTACGGGGGCGGCTGTGTGGTTCGCGCGACGCGCGTGTGGGAGCCGAAATGGTGCCCGCACACTCACCGTACATGCATTCGTTGTTTCCTTTCCCCACCACCTCCTCACAGGCTGCAAACAGACGGACAGAGAGAGAGAGAGGGAGACAGGGAGGAGAGCATCGTTAGACTGATTCGGTACGCAACAAACATTGCAGAGGCATGAGAAGGATTCACAAGTTCCGATCTCCATCGCCATGAAACTCTTGTTTAATGGCCTCTCACCAATTAAAGTTTGTGTGTGTTGTGTGTATTGCATGAGGGCAGGAGTGGTGGCGTAGCAGTTAACACATTGCACTGCGAACCTTGCCACCTGGGTTTGATTCCCATCCACGGCTAATATCAGTGGAAATTGAACTTGGAACCGGTCATAGGTCTCCCACGGATGGACTCAGCTTTAAATTGGTACCTGATATTGCATGTAAACATAAGCACTGCGGAGACATAGGTGGTCAGGCGTGGCGATCGCCACACCACCTCCCCTTCCTTGTGTGCTGTTCCAGCCTGAAATTGGTGCCCGCTAACAGTACTTGCGCCCCAGAATTCTGTGGAAGGCTACACAGGGGATCTTTGTCACTGCCGGTGTCATCAGGCTTTTGGGGTTAAAGGTGGGTGAACAATCTTGCTCAAGCCTTGGCGACCAATGACAAAAAAAATGCAACGAATAATAACATTTGTTTCACGATAACGAGGATGGTGGCCTTGTTGATGGTGGTGGCGATATAGTAATGGTGGTGGTGGCGATGGTGGTGGTGGCGATGACATTGCCGCTTATGGCAGAGGAGTCGGTGACAATGACGATGATTATTCCAGTTTGCTTTTGGTAATACCATCATTGTGTTCTCCGGTGGAAGTGGTCATGCTACCCACAGAGTCACCAGGCATCGCACGAACTCCTGCCAGTACGAGCCGAATTTTAACGGGGGCAAGTTATCACAGCTCATGCGAAAATCACACATCCGGCTCGTCCACCATAACCTTGATTACCGTTTGCCGCCATCAACAATGTCGGCAAGCGTCAACTCAAAGCGCATTTCTCCACCCTGCAGTGACCTGGAAATGCCACCACTGCCGACAGGCTGTGGTCGTTCTTGTACATGAATTGTGCATAGCTCAAATAAAGTCTGAGTCGAAAACAATGTCGCTAAGGCAGTGTGTGCCGGTAGCTATACAGGACTTCTGGATGAAAATTCACCCGCGTATTGTTTTTACATTCGTACCGCAAGCTTAATCTTGATTTGAAGCTTTCGTGACTGCAACGTAACGTTTTTACGACCGTGTAAATATTATCCACTTTCGGGTCATTTCAGTAAGGCATTTTTTAAAAGGACCAGAATACATTCTTTTATCGAGCCCTCGTTCAGCATGAAATCTGATCATGCCCTACTCGTGCTAAATAAGGGGTTTGCTGGGGTTCATGGTTTTATTTAAAAAAATGTATTTATTTGTTCTTCCTTTCTTGAGATTGCACAATGAGATTACACAAAGACAGAGCAAATACTTTAATAGAAGTGGGATATCAGGCACATCATCTGAGAGGAAGAAACTTTTAATCTGTTCAGCCAAAAAAAGCGGCAGCTGAAAAAACATTAAAAAAATATCGAGCAGAATACTCGAGGGCAAGTAGAAATCCAACACTCGAGTTTAAAAGCAGCACACAACACTGCCGAGTACTGCGATGACAGGAGACATGCCCCGCCCCCCCCGCAATTTATTTCCATTATTATTTCACTGTTGCCCGACGCAAAAAATATTTGGAACTTCTGCGAATTTTCCCCCGGTACCCGGACACAGAGAGAGAGACGAGTTTTTTTGTTTGGGTATTCAAAACAACGGAAAATGAAACCGACCGCACACAAACGAGGCACAGACTGCGATCTCTCCTGGTACAACCAGATTTCCAAGTTCCAACAGTTTGCGGCTTCCGCAGCTTTCCAACGGTTCCAAAAGTTATTACGAGTGGCGGGGGCGGGTCGTATGACCTCGGCATTTCGTGCGACTGCAGCAGGTAAAAAAAAAATCCATCGTCAATTCCACCTGCCCAGGTGCTCATTTATCACCTCTCCCCACCGCATTCCGCCGAGGGGACGTGCACTCTGCCGTATCAGGCGAAGATCTCTGGTTGAGGGCTCTTGCCAGAGTCCAAACAACGCCACCCTCCCACCTCCTGCCGACACCGCCGCGCACACACTCGCGCGCTCCTCCACACTCGACGCACGCATCTGCGGGCTCTGTGTATGCGCCTTTCCCAGTTCCTCGCCAGCCTCACGGCAATACCTCACGGGTACATAGCGCTCGCGTGTGTGCGAGTCTGTGGCTGTTGAGGAGGCTCGTGAATGACGCTACTGGTCAGTTGGAGGCAGTCGCCCTCCAACAACAACAGAGGGCAGAGGAGCGACGCTCACAACAACGAGCGGAGCGCCGGGCGGCTATAATGCGACAAAAGCTCGCACAGTAGGGGGCACAGCTGGTGCATCTGCCAGCCATCTCAGTCACTAAACCCATGGCACCTGGGTCTGTCCCGTCACCTTCTGTCAGTGAGCCTTTGACACGTCACGTGGTCTCAAAGTACACCTGGACTGGCACAGGCACCGTGGTGACGTCACCTAGTGGCGAATGGCAGATATTGGTATCGGTTGGGGGGTATGGGAGTGGTAGTGTAGAACCCGGCGACCTAATTCGCTTTCTACTTCGCAGTCAACATTGTGGCCCAACATAACCATTCCTGGGCCTCCAAGTATCTGGCGTGGTGTGTAAACCTCAGCACTGGGGAGAGAAAGGCGACCGAGCGTGCTGCTGGCAACACCGCCTGTTCCCACGTCGTACCGGCCCTTCATACTCGACATCTGTGAAAGAGAGCTTCAAAGCTCATCGGATTCCGCCAGGATAGATAAAGGTTTTAATTCATAGCTGCTCGCCAAGAGCACTTGCCCCAACGGCCTACGTAGTCTTCCTGGAGAATCTTTACCTTTATCTTTGTGTGTGTGTGTGTGTGGGTGCACACACTGGCGCCCGAGGGAGCGCCCCAAGCACACGATACCTCCGCTCACACGAGCAAAAATAATCCCATAATGGGCAACTCCTGCGAGAGACCTCCACGCCAGACCACCTTTCATTCAGCCGGCGTCTGGAACAGCGCCACAATTAGCGAGGGCGCGTCCCCCTTCTCCCACACCCACCCAGGTGCACCCATCGCATTCCACCTACCCTCCCGCTCGCGCGTCAATTCCCACCCCACGTTTCAAGCAAGCGGCTCATTCGCGGTGCGGTGGGTCCACGGTTGGACCGCCGCTCTATCGCTCACGCCAGCGTGCACGGCCGGCACGCGTCCTTGGAAGTCCAACCCCTGCAGATGCCGCGCACTTCTGGAAAAAAGCGGTTCTAAAGCAATGAGTTTTCAATCCAGACTGAAAACTCCTTTCTTTAGAACTGTTTTGTGTACTTCTTTAGAACTGCTAGACTGAAAACTCCTTTCTTTAGAACTGCTTTTTGTGTTTAGTTTGTTGTCCTTGCTCCGCACCTCTGAGTAGCAGGGTTGACGATGTATGGCATCAAAGAAGTTCAACGTACACGCACGCGACGGTCAAAGCTTTAGGCCATCGACTGTAACAATGCATTATGGAATTCAATGTGCAGGCTTATGCCTACGTTTGAGTGACGTGTAACATTGATTTGCGTTGCCGAGCTATTAAGCTGTCGCCATTGTGGTGGCGGTCATTGCAAATACACTATTTTGAAGCTGTGCTTGTAAAAAAAAAAACACAGAACTGCTTTTGTATTTCTTCATAAGTGCTTTTTGTGTTTGTTGGCCTTCCCCCAGCATCTCCGATTAGCAACGGTTGCCTACGTACGGCGCGGAAGAAGTTTAACGTACGTACGCACACACTGCCCCCACAGTCCCGCGTGGCAAAAAAACCTGGGGAGTGGAAATGCTCAATGAAGCAAGCCCTGATGACCCCGAAAACTGCACTCTCGTTACAAGCGGCCACAGAAACGCACGCGCGTTGTGGCAAAACGTACGAGCGTTACGACAAAACTGCGCTTAAATTTCGATTTAAAGCTTTCGTGACTGCAGGGATTCATCTTCTTGGTTCTTTCGGTAAAGTCACGTAGAAAGGAAGTAATAAACTAATAAAAATAAAACATAATAAAATCATTCTCACGACGCTTCGGCCACAACGCAAGCAGCCGTCCTCAGGTGAAGACCAGGTCTGTCGGGGAGACGCTGGCCTTCACCTGAGGACGGCTGCTTGCATTGTGGCCGAAACGTCGTGAGAATTATTTTATTATGTTTAATTTTTATTATTTTATTATTTCCCTTCTACGTGACTTTACCGAAAGAACCAAGAAGATGAAAACTGCTCTTACCTCGCGGGAGCCCTTAAAGCAATGGTGTGCACCAGGACTTTTTTTAACGGCCCGGACACTTTATGAGAGTGGGGACCCCATTTTCGGGCTGTCCACCAGAAACATGCCACACTGCTGCTGCTGCTGCTATTTTACACGACGTGGAACGAATCTTTTTTTTTTCCAATCCGTCATTAAGTTTTAGTCTCGAAGGAATACGTGCGCGTTGGTAGTGTTTTGCACGTGTCTGCGGATGTGATAAGCGTTCTTAAGTTGATAGCTGTACGACTGCTAAACATGCAAATCACCTGCATTGCGCCCGGTCGCCCGACCTCAGAGGTCAAGCGGCGTTGGAGACGAGACACTGCTTAAATAGGCGACCTCCATGCATACAGCAGGTGTTATAGGCTGTTGCGGAGCAATGTCGTCGGCAGAATACAGTGAAAGAAAATCCACTATTGCACGATATTAACGTCTATGCTTTTTGCTTTTTGCCCTCACCCACCTGCACTGACCAGCATGGTGAAGTATGATCAGCATGAGGAGGCCCCTCATCCAGCAGTGGATTGACAAATATACCGATTAGCACGGTTGGCTATGTGCGGTGTGAAAAAAAAAACTTCTATATACATTTACATGCAACATATGGCAGTGCAACCAATCTCATGGCGCAACATCAAAAGCAGGGCAACGTCTCTGTATCCCAGCACCAAGCCTTGCTGCGTC